ATCTTAGCACAGCAAGGTTTCAGCATCCAAGTTAAAAATAATGCTCTTATATCTTTGCCTATTAAGAATTTATACCACATGGGCCAATGAACAGACAAAGCATATTAAAAATGCAATACTAAAAGCTTAAAATTAATTACAATCTGAAATACAACATTTTATTACAATATGCCCGCAAAGCAACATATGATCAAACTGTAATCTATAAAAATCATATTATATGATCAGATACTGGTTTCTGAAAGCTAGTTCTCAAGAAAGAAATCCTATGTAATTCAGGGAAGACAATTTAGAAATAGAAATATGCTTCTATTTGAGGAATAATGGCTTCCCTGATAGCTCGGTTGGTAAAGAATCCACCTGCAATGCAGGAGACCCTAGTTTGATTCCTGGGTCAGAAAGATCTGCTGGAGAAGGGATAGGCTACCCACTCCAGTATTCTTGGGCTTCCCTTGTGGCTCAGCTGGTAAAGAATCTGCCTGCAATGCGGAAGACCTGGGTTTGATCCCTGGGTTGGGAAGATCCCCTGGAGAAGGGAAAGGCTACCCACTCCAGTATTCTGACCTGGAGAATTCCATGGACTGTATAGTCCATGGGGTCATAAAGAGTCGGACTTGACTGAGAGACTTTCACTTTCACTTTCTACTTGAGGAACACTTATATTTGAGATCAGACGAGACATTGTAACAATCTAGTTATAGGCATCAAGTCATGCAAATTTACTAAAACTAGCTAATCTAGATTTTGTGTCTGAGTATCTGCACACGCTAGTGTGTGAGTGTGTAAGCAAAGTGAAAGTTGCTCAGTCGTGTCCAACTCTTTGCGACCCCATGGGCTATACAGTTCATGGAGTTCTCCAGGCCAGAATACTAGAGTGGGCAGCCTTTCCCTTCCCCAGGGGATCTTCCCAACCTAGGGATTGAACCCAGGTCTCCCACATTGCAGGCAGATTCCTTACCAGCTGAGCCACAAAGGAAGCCCATGAGTATGGAAACTATGACCTAAAATCATTAACTCTTCAACTTCCATGGAAAATTCATGCAAATATAAGAATTTAATTGCATATTTTAAAAGGAAGTTGATCCTTTTCTTTTTTGTAATATGTGGTTTCAATTTATTTGGCAGCAGCCATGGAGTCCCAAGTTTAATGACAGCTGATTAAAATGGTTCTTTTTTTCCTTACTTTGACTTTATTGAAAAAGAATCAAAACTATGTTGGCACAGACAGTATTTCTCATCCTAAATGGTTTAACATTTGCAATATTTTGTATATGATATGTGTGTCATCTGAAACAGACTTTTTCCCATAAAAAATAATCAAAGAGAGAAAGATGATGTTTGCATTTTCTTTGTTCAAGGTGTTTATTGCATCTCAGAGGGCGTACATGCACTGGATTTTTGAACTGAAATACAAAGAAAAGCCATGTTGAAATTGGTTTTAGGTAATTTTTCCCCATTACAGTGTAGTTATCCCCACAGTAAATTCAGATACAACCACTTTTAAATGGTACCATACATCTATTGAGTAATTTGAAAAAAAGGCAAACACCTTTCCAACCCAATATGCTTTAACAAAGAGCGGCCAAGCCACTAGCAACACTGATCAACAGTGACCTCATGTATGCATCAAAATCTTAAGCCAAGCCATCAGCACAGACAATATGACAACAACTTAAAAATTAAAGAATACAGTATGTACAGTAAAGAATACAATTCTCTGATTTAGTTTAAATTCTAGTCACAATGGTACAACAAAACCTACTCTGAGCTCAATTGAGGGATGGAAGAACACTAGTCTACAGAACACACAAAGAAATACTAAATTAACAGATGTACATAAACCCCACAAGAAAATAAAAAGATTTGCAGTAAACTTTAAATTACAGCTATACCTTGGGGTGCCTTCATAATCACTTGAATAGCACACTTCAAATTGCATTTTCACAGACAAGATGGAAACAGACCCTTTACTTTCAGTGCACTGAATCAAGAATGAACAAGTAGGTTAATTTAGATGCAAAACCTGTCAAACATAATTAAAATAGATAACACAGCAGTGATTAAATATGGAATTCTTCCCATATGATTTTTCATTCTTGATTAAGGTAGCTTTGAGGGGAAATATTTGTTATGGACATTAACCTTTATATATTTTTTAAAATAAAATTTCTTAACATATACAGTGCCACAAAAATAAACATTTCCCACCACAGCTGAAGTTCCTGTGATTGGAAAAGTGTACTCCACACCGAAAAAAGTTCTGTATATTTAAGAGTGTTTTCCTTACTATCTGATATTATCACACTATATTTGTAACGCAGATACAGAAGAAAAGAGAATTTATGGGGAGAGTTCAGGTGTGTCCAAAAGTTATATATACATTGAAACCCTCAAAAACACAGACACGTCTTTCCCAATGGCTCACCACACAACAGCTGCATCATCCGTCCATGGGCGAGGTCCAGAGAGTACTAAAGGCATCAGAAACATCCATTCATTGTTTACATCACGCAACACAGAAGGAACCCACATACACTACAATTCTGAGAGTAGGGATAACAGCTAAGGTAGTACACATTCCTAACATTCACTTTCACGGCTGTGCTACAGTTCGGAAGAGAAGTTATGGATAAGCATTGGGATTGGTACTGGTGGCTCCCTTTGAAACTCTGAGCGTCAATTTTATTTGAAGTCTCCAAAGTCATTATTTTTTTTTCCTATTCAGTCACAAAAATTGCAGCTGTAAAGATAAAAAAGCACTTGAATTAGAAAATGGCATTATGTAGTTCTCAAATATTTTACCTTCCTTGCAATTTTACTTCGCTGTTGACACAGCAGGTCTTCATATTACCAAAGTCACATTTAAACACTTTTCACCATTCTTTAAGACAAGCTTAAAATTTCATCCAGGAAAAAAACAACAACAACAACAACCTTTTTTCAAAGTATAGCTTCATTTTAAGTAAGCAAATTCTATTGGCAAAATTTGGAAATTGGATACTTAGGAAGTATCCAATTTCCAAGTATACTTAGAAAAAATCTTAGTAAGACATTCAGTATCAATTAAAACAGTTAACCTTAAAAAAGGGCAGTGAAAAAAAAGAGGGGGGGCAGGGACTCCCTTTTCTGGGGTTCTGTTCAGTTAAGGTTTCCAAGGAGCCACTAAGTAGTTGTACGAGTGACGGAACAGTGGGGAGACATCCCCAGTGATGCAAAGCCTTCATTTACACGCCCTCTCCCCTCCCTGCTATCTCCCATGCTGTCATCTCTGCCAGGAAACCCTTCTGGGGTCTTCAGGCTTGGGCACGGGGGTAACTCTCCTTTGTAACACAGTCTGTGTCTGTCCCTCTTTTGACTGTGACTCTGAGAGCAGACGGTATCTCAAGCACTTCTGTTTCAGGCACTCCTCAGAATTCCTGCACGTGCTGACAGCAACACTTCTGAATAATAAGTGCATAAAAGGCTGCTTCCTGCTGCACTCCTGGTCATTTCTGAAACTTCAGCTGCTAAGAAATAAGTGTTTGTTGTCTTATTTATGCATCTACATGATGCCTACCTCAGCCCAATTCAGCCCTAAGTGGAACAGAAAAGTTGGGCTCAAGGAGAATTACTTGGCTGAGATGTCAAGGCCTTAAAATGATAAATTATTAATGTTGTATGAAGAAAAAAATCACAAGGCAGAAATCCACAAAAGTCGCCATAGGCATAACAGGAAGTTTAAATATATATATATAGTAGATGCACGATACGGAGAAGGCACTGGCAACCCACTCCAGTACTCCTGCCTGGAAAATCCCATGGACAGAGGAGCCTGGCAGGCTACGGTCCATGGGGTCGCAAAGAGTTGGACACGACTGAGCGACTTCACTTTCACTTTTCACTTTTAAGCACTGGAGAAGGAAATGGCAACCCACTCCAGTATTCTTGCCTGGAGAATCCCAGGGATGGGGGAGCCTGGTGGGCTGCCGTCTATGGGGTCACACAGAGTCGGACACGACTGATGCAACGTAGCAGCAGCAGCAGATTTATGATAAAAAGAATACCAGACAGGGGTTCAAAAACTTCAACGCTCATACTTCTCTTCCAGTGTGACCCTGGGCAAATCACTTAATGCCAAGGGACAGTTTCTTTTGCTGTGAAATGCAGGCCAAAGTATCTGGCTAGCTTATCCTGCAGGGTTTGATCTCCAACAGAGGTGATCAAAGAGTTAATTACTGGAAAGAATGAAAAATACTGCGTAAATGAAAAGCATCATTACTAGTGCTCACCCACATTCAGCAAGTATTGGGTTGGCCAAAAAGTTTGCTCTCGTTTTTCTGTAACGTGAAAAATTTGAATGAACTTTTTGGCCAACTTAATATTTGTTGAGAAGCTATCCACTGTGTCAGGTTCTGGGGTTAACAGCAAATCGCTGTCTTCATTAGTTTCCTTCTATAAGTCCTCTATTAGCCATAATGTAATTTCACAAATTACATTAGAAATTTAAAACTAGAATGTTAAAAATGAAAATTTTGCCTGAATGCAGAGATGCAAAGGGTAATAAATCTAAGTTTTACTTGATGAGGCCAAATAAGAATAAGCAGAATAAAATTACAATTGTCACCAAATATATTCTTAGACAATTTCTAAATGAAGTATTGTAAATGTTACCTTTCTATAAATTCTAGTCATCATAGAATGCACTAGTAATTTTCTAATTTATGAAGTAGCTTGGGCAACCTTTTGCTTTATTAGTATAATCTGTGTGCTTTCCAGGGTAAGGACAATTTGGAGGTTTCTCTCCCTCTTAGTTTTGCAAATTAAGTAAGATTAAAAAATCACTGACAAAGATAGCTTCCAATATGGATTTCAAAAGCATACACATTCAAACAATTATTATTACATATTATGTATTAAGGACACAGAAGTACAAATATTATACCTAATAAAATAGCTAAGCATAGCATAGGTCACTATTACAAGCCCACAGGAAAAGCTCATTATTAGATACCTTAAATTGTTTACAAGAAATCCTTGATGTTAAGATCCGCTAATGGGTCCTTTGCTGGAGGTTTCTTGGGACTCTGAGAGGCAGGTGTAGGGCTTGGAGAAAGCTAAGGAGGAAAAGCCAGCCCAAGACAGTGGAAACAGAAAGCAAACAGAGATAGATAAGCATTAGGCCAAGCACATACCACAGAAAACAAACATGCAGAAGATTAGATGGCTAAAAGTTTACAAAATCTACTTTGTTCTACTTAGTCACAGGGTTGTTTTAGACTCTGGATTTAAAAAACACACTTCAAAGGATACTGGCTTTCTTGAAATTATTTGACATCAAACTTAGCCAAAGTAAAATTTGAGGACTCTTGTAGAACAATATGGATATTAAGTTAGGGAAGATGTGGAAAACTAGTCACATTAAAGCTACTATGAATACATAGTGAAAAAAATACAACTTCTCTATTCAAAGCATTTTGACTTTGAGTTATTAGTACCTCTAAACTAATAAAGGAATATAAACGACTTTTCTCAGACTGAGAGTGAGTTTGAAGGAAAAATGGAAAGAAAACAGCTTGCAGAAAGTCACTTAAGAAATTACTTTAAACTATTAGCTAAATAGACTAGAATTTCATATAAAGTATTTTAAGTGAACACCTGTCAAATCTGGGGTCACTGTTTGTTTTCGGATGAGCAAATAGTGTAGTTGTGAATGTCACTGAATTCCAATCTTGCCTGTCCAGCTTGTAGAGAAGATTAATTATTAGATACTACAGAGAAGAATCATACTAAACCTGAAGCAAAAGCAACCAAAAATTTACTTACCTTGTTTCTGCTTAATGAATACTTAGATTATTCTATTGTGTGACAAACCTAAGTTTTGGGAACAGGCTTTTGCAGGAATGTTAGGGTCCAAGGCCTTGAAAAAGGTCATGGAGTCTACATAGAACAATAACTAACATGTATCCTTTGAGCTAATTAATCTTCTACACTTGTAACAAGATGGAATGTAACTCAGGAATATGGGATTGAAGGGCAGGGAGGTATGTTTTCTTTTTTGGTTCTGTAAACAAAGCTCCAGAAATAAGCAGTTTTAGATTTGTTCCCTTGTCCAGGAACTATTGATTAACTGTAGTACGTATCAGTCAAATTTCCATTTATAAAACTGGGATCCTATCTCATGGGAAGGCCAGGAAAAAATAAATATAAAGGGTCAAAGTTGTTTGGAAGATAAGAAACTCAAGGACTGGTCCATAATTAATAATTAGGTGATATGACATTGTGACACCAACCAAGTGATTTACAGTGCAAGAGTCCACACACCAGTCAAGAAAAACTTCTGTGTCTTCAAAGCTACTAACTCATGTTTGCTTTCTTATTTAATATCTAATCAGCTATGATTCTTCTCTGGTGCAGGAATGCAGCTTAGAAATTGACTAACTATGGCACAGCATGTCCCAAATTGCCATAAATTCAACTAAATGATTAAAACAGTTTTCATTGTATCATCTATTTTTCATTTTCATCCTTTGAATTAAGTAAACAAATTGATGCTATGCAACACTGGTATCAAGCAGGAAAACTACCTTATATAATAAAACTGTATTATTTCTAAAGCGTTCAGCACACCAAGTACAATAAGACTTTAAAAAATCTCAGTAACATCCTTTCAATTTCTTTTTTTTTTTCAAAAAGGTGGTAGATAGTCACGGATATATTTAACCATCAAGGAAATATTCATAAGTGAGATTCTTTCTTGGAATTTAAATATATCTAGATTGACTGTAATCCCAACTATGAAAACCAAAACCTCCCTTAATATCCACTCCCGGCCTACCACCCTCCCCCACCCCAAACAACTTTAGGTAGCATTCATTATCTCAGAGCAGAGAGCAAATTCCTCAGGAAGCCGGTGCTTTGGTGATGGCGTTGAAGGCTGGAGTCTCTTACATTTTATTTTATTTTATTTTTTTTAAATTTATTTATTTATTTATTTTTTTTATCACAACCATAGTGTATCTTTTTTTTTTTTTTTTTTACATGTATTCCCCATCCCGGTCCCCCCTCCCACCTCCCTCTCCACCCAATCCCTCTGGGTCTTCCCAGTGCACCAGGCCCGAGCACTTGTCTCATGCACCCAACCTGGGCTGGTGAACTGTTTCACCCTAGATAATATACATGTTTCAATGCTGTTCTCTTGAAACATCCCACCCTCGCCTTCTCCCAGAGTCCACAAGTCTGTTCTATACATAGGAGTCTCTTTTTCTGTTTTGCACATAGGGTTATCGTTACCATCTTTCTAAATTCCATATATATGTGTTAGTATACTGTAATGGTCTTTATCTTTCAGGCTTACTTCGCTCTGTATAATGGGCTCCAGTTTCATCCATCTCATTAGAACTGATTCAAATGAATTCTTTTTAATGGCTGAGTAATATTCCATGGTGTATATGTACCACAGCTTCCTCATCCATTCATCTGCTGATGGGCATCTAGGTTGCTTCCATGTCCTGGCTATTATAAACAGTGCTGCGATGAACACTGGGGTACACGTGTCTCTTTCAGATCTGGTTTCCTCGGTGTGTATGCCCAGAAGTGGGATTGCTGGGTCATATGGCAGTTCTATTTCCAGCTTTTTAAGAAATCTCCACACTGTTTTCCATAGTGGCTGTACTAATTTGCATTCCCACCAACAGTGTAAGAGGGTTCCCTTTTCTCCACACCCTCTCCAGCATTTATTGCTTGTAGACTTTTGGATAGCAGCCATCCTGACTGGTGTGTAATGGTACCTCATTGTGGTTTTGATTTGCATTTCTCTGATAATGAGTGATGTTGAGCATCTTTTCATGTGTTTGTTAGCCATCTGTATGTCTTCCTTGGAGAAATGTCTGTTCAGTTCTTTGGCCCATTTTTTGATTGGGTCATTTATTTTTCTGGAGTTGAGCTGGAGGAGTTGCTTGTATATTTTTGAGATTAATCCTTTGTCTGTTGCTTCGTTTGCTATTATTTTCTCCCAATCTGAGGGCTGTCTTTTCACCTTGCTTATAGTTTCCTTTGTTGTGCAAAAGCTTTTAAGTTTCATTAGGTCCCATTTGTTTATTTTTGCTTTTATTTCTAATATTCTGGGATGTGGGTCATAGAGGATCCTGCTGTGATTTATGTCGGACAGTGTTTTGCCTATTTTCTCCTCTAGGAGTTTTATAGTTTCTGGTCTTACATTTAGATCTTTAATCCATCTTGAGTTTATTTTTGTGTATGGTGTTAGAAAGTGTTCTAGTTTCATTCTTTTACAGGTGGTTGACCAGTTTTCCCAGCACCACTTGTTAAAGAGGTTGTCTTTTTTCCATTGTATATCCTTGCCTCCTTTGTCAAAGATAAGGTGACCATAGGTTCGTGGATTTATCTCTGGGCTTTCTATTCTGTTCCATTGATCTATATTTCTGTCTTTGTGCCAGTACCATACTGTCTTGATGACTGTGGCTTTGTAGTATAGTCTGAAGTCAGGCAGATTGATTCCTCCAGTTCCATTCTTCTTTCTCAGGATTACTTTGGCTATTCGAGGTTTTTTGTATTTCCATACAAATTGTGAAATTATTTGTTGTAGTTCTGTGAAAAATACCGTTGGTAGTTTGATAGGGATTGCATTGAATCTGTAGATCGCTTTGGGTAGTATAGCCATTTTGACAATATTGATTCTTCCAATCCATGAACACGGTATATTTCTCCATCTGTTTGTGTCCTCTTTGATTTCTTTCATCAGTGTTTTATAGTTTTCTATGTATAGGTCTTTTGTTTCTTTAGGTAGATATACTCCTAAGTATTTTATTCTTTTTGTTGCAATGGTGAATGGTATTGTTTCCTTAATTTCTCTTTCTGTTTTCTCATTGTTAGTGTATAGGAATGCAAGAGATTTCTGTGTGTTAATTTTATATCCTGCAACTTTACTGTATTCGTTGATTAGCTCTAGTAATTTTCTGGTAGAGTCTTTAGGATTTTCTATGTAGTACATTTTAAATTTATCTTTTTGGACACCCAATATCCCTCTCCTGGTCATTATGGCTTTTTAAGGGTTAAAGTAAAGAAACTAAAGCCAATTTTGGAAACAGGTAGAGAATGAATTCAGAGATGATCCAAGGAAGAAAAGGGGATTAAAGTACATTCAGAAGGTTCACAACAGGATTCCTATTGTGAGGCTGAGACAGTATAAACAGATGTGGTAAATTTAAAAATTATACAATAGAAGCGAAATCATTTACTGATATCCTTAAAATATATTTCAGCCATGTGTTCTGAGTGCTCAGCACCGTGCTAGAAGTTACAATGTTCTTCCTCCATCCTAAATCAATTTCACATGGTGAAAACTTCTTTGGTTCTACATATACCTTCACTTGGTCCAGGCAATTTATGAGAGAAATAAACAAAGGGTGATTTATCTGTATGAACATCATTATTAGCAGCAAAATAGTTCAACAAAGTGCATATATTTTGGCATCTTTGCAAATAAAGGCAGCACGCTATATAGTAAGAAACTTGGCCTCACCTTAAGAGAGGTTTGCCCTTTTTCCTGGACCCTGGTAGATAACTTCTAAACCTTTGGAGTTTTCCTAGTAATAGGAATGTCTTTGTTATTCAGAGTGGGTTTGTGGCACCACACCTGATAATTTATGCTAACTAGGTAACTCAGGGTTGGGGGCTGGCCATGCCAGAAAATCAACCATGTGATTAAACAGTTCAGTCTCTGGGCCACAGGATATGAACCTGACCTTCAGAGAGGGAGGAAGGCTGGAGATGGAGTTCAACCACGTGAGAAATAATTCAGTTAGTCATTCCTATATAATGAGAGCTAAATACAAACTCTGCATACTGAAGCTCAGGTAAGCTTCCCAGGTTAGCAGTATTGCATGTGTATCCTCACACAGTGATACCAGGTGGGTAATGCATCCCTGAGGACAAAGAAGCTTCATGTGGGATCCTCCCAGACTTTGCCCAGTGCATCTCTTCTTTTGGCTGGATCTGTTTGTATCTTTTCACTACAATAAAACTGTCATTGTAAAGTTAGTGCTTCCCCGAGTTCTATGAGTCTTTCTAGAAAACTGTCTAATCTGAGGGTGGTCCTGGGAACCCTTAAATCTGCAGGCAGCTGGTCTGAAGTGAGGGTGGCCTTGGGGACCTGAAGGGTCTGATGAGGGCAGTCTTGTGGGAATTGCTCCTTCAGGCTTTGTTGCTGTTGCTGTTGTTCAGCCATGCAGTCGTGTCTGACTCTTTGTGACCCCATGGACTGCAACACACTAGACTTCCCTGTCCTTCACCATCTCCTGCAGTTTGCTCAAACTCACGTCCATTGAGTCGGTGATGCCATCCAAGCATCTCACGCTCTGTTGCCCCCTTCTCCTGCCCTCAATCTTTCCCAGCAACAGGGTCTTTTCCAGTGAGTTAGCTCTTTGCATCAGGTGACCAAAATACTGGAGCTTCAGCTTCAGCATCAGCCCTTCCAATGAATATTCAAGGTTGATTTCCTTTAGGATGGACTGGTTTGATCTCTTTGCTGTCCAAGGGACTCTTGAAGAGTCCTCCAGCACCACTGATAGAAAACATCAATTCTTCAGCACTCAGCCTTCTTTATGGTTCAGCTCTCACATCCATTCATGACTACTGGAAAAACCATAGCTTTGACTAGACAAACCTTTGTCAGTAAAGTCATGTCTCTGCTTTTTATTTTTATTTTTTAGTTCTAATGTCTCTGCTTTTTAATATGCTGTCTAGGTTTGTCATAGCTTTTCTTCCAAGGAGCAAGTGTCTTTTAATTTCATGGCTGCAGTCACCATCGGCAGTGATTTTGGAGCCCAAGGAAATAAAGTCTGTCACTGTTTCCATTTTTCCTCCATACATTTGCCATGAAGTGATGGGACCAGATGCCAAGATCTAGGCTTTACAGTTTGGCAGACTCACTGCAGTTAGTGTCACTAGTCTTGGGCAAACTTAGCAGCCAGGAGTATCATGTCCCTAACCTTAATTTTGGCTAACTCTAGGGACATGTAGTAAGACAGTGGATTAGAGCTACTCATTTTTTCCTGGAATAAATGCCTAGATATTTTAAACGCCTGGTAGTTCTCAGGAAACATTCCAAATCAAGGAAAGGAAGGGAGGGACCTTAGGACAGTTAGTTTTTTCTATCATTTTCCTTTAAATGTCACCACTGTTCACCTGTCTTCCATGTTCCCTTGACTTCTTCCCAAGCAGCAAACAAGGAGATGGCATCAGGTAAAAACATTTTTAAATTGTTGGTCACATGACAGTTTACACTTATAAATTAACGTTATTCTTTTGTGGACATTTAAAAACTGACCTGTGTGCCAGGTACAGCTGCAACTCCAAAGGGTGGCCTCATCATGGGCTGTGCAAACATGACAGGCTGCTGAGGCATCATGGGCATGCCCGTCCCCGCCGGAGGCTGAAAAAGCAGAGGGGTTCACAGTGTGAGTGCAGTCCACTCTGGCAGTGCCCTGACATTTATGTCTTTAATATGTTAAAGAAAATTTCTGAAGAATCCAGGGTTGTGAAAAGGCATCACTTGTGATTTTTTAAAAAGATGCTTACTTAAATTTATTTTTATTTATGTTTTTGGCTGTGCTGTGTGGCATGTGGGGATCTTAGTTCCCCGACCAGGGACTGAACCTGTGCACCCTTACAATGGAAGCCTGGATTCTTAACCACTGGACTGCCAGGGTGCACGCTCAATTGTGTCTAACTCTTTGTGACTCCATGGACTGTAGCCCTCCTCTGTCCATGGGACCTCCCAGGCAAGAGTACTGGAGTGGGTTGCCATTTCTTCCTCCAGGGGATCTTCCCAACCCAGGGACTGAAGCCATGTCTCCTGCATAGGCAGGCAGATTCTTGCCTATGGATTGAGCCCGCCCTGGAAACTCCAGACCACATCCTTACCCCAACCAGGCTTTGCTGCTGTTTATCTATCTTCTGTATGTATAGTTCTTAAGGAGGTAAAGACTTGTTTCTTTATGGAAAATGGCCCTAAAATTTGCTAGTGATAAAAGTGCTAAGTGAAAAGTCAGTATACTGATGAAAAGTTGATTTTGGTGATTAAGCTAAGAGCCCAGGTCACTGGTTTGGTAAACAGTACTCCAAAAATGACATTATCAGTGCACTACAAAAATTATTTTGATGGTGGAAAAATTATTTTAAATGTCTTATAACTGACTTGATCATGTCCTCTGTAGACTACTTAATGTCTAAAGCAGATGACTTAATTTTAAAATTTTATTCTACTGCATTATGGAGAGAATTACATTCTATAGTTAATCTGGGATTTGGCGAAGTCCTTAGAAGTATTAATTACAATTTTAACAATTGTAAAATTGTAAAACAATTTTAAAAAAAATTGTTTTACAATTTTTAAAACACTCACCATTCCAAACCCTGCTCCAGGTTGTCCGACAGATGGGGCCCCGGCAACAGGAGGAACTGAACTGGTTGGAGGTACAGCTCCTTGCTATCAAAAAACCCACAACACACACATAGACACATACATACACACACACACACACAAACAACAAACAAAAAGAACCAATATAATATGGCTTTAAAAGGACAGAATATAACTTTTAAATGCATGCTCTTAAGTATGTGTAAAGATATAAAGAAATTTCAAATTTCAGTTTTCAATTTTAAAAATAGGACTAGCACCATGCCAGCGATACAAAGATTACCAACGTGATGTTCACCACTGTGGAGTTATTTGGGCTCAGCTTATGCTCTCTACCTACTTATGCCACCTTCAGTGTAAAGAAGCTAAGTTTTTTTTTTTTTTTTTAAAGTTAGTCTTGTTTATCTCACAAGACCTACAAAAATTATGGGAGGAAGTGCCTTATAGCCCTCCGCACGAGCGGGGGGTGGGAGAGAATGACCCTAACTCTAGAAGCCAAGTTTTTCTAAACTTTTTTTGGTCTAATCATTATATTCTCCAATAGGCATTGAATTAGAAATTTGAGGAATGCTTTTATTGACGTGTTTAAAGCTTGGTTTCCACTTCTCCCCACTTAAAAAAATTAATTTATTTTTTAATTGAAGGATAATTGCTTTATAGAATATTGTTGTTTTCTGCCAAATATCAAGATGAGTCAGCCATAGGTATACACATGTCCGCTTCCTCTTGGACCTCCCCTCATCTCCCTCCCCATCCCACCCCTCAAGGTTGTTACAGAGCCTCTATTTGAGTTTCCTGAGCCATACAGCAAATTCCCATTGGCTCTCTATTTTACATGTGGTCATGTAAGTTTCCATGTTACTCTCTCCATACATCTCATCCTCTCCTTCCTCCCCGTGTCCATAAGTCTATTTTTTATGACTGTTTCTCCATTGCTGCCCTGCAAATAAATTCATTGGTACCATCTTTCTAGATTCCATATACATGCACTAGTATACAATATTTATCTTTCTCTTTCTGACTTCACTCTGTATAACAGGTTCTAGATTCATCCACCTCATTAGAACTGACTCAAATGCATTATATTATGTGGCTGAGTAATAGTCCATTGTGTATATGTACCACAGCTTCTTTACCCATTCAGCTGTCGATGGACATCTAGGTTGCTTCCATGTTCTAGCTATTGTAAGTAGAGATGCAATGAACATTAGGGTACATGTATCTTTTTCAGTTTTGATTTCCTCAGGATATATGCCTAATAGTGGGATTGCTGGGTCATATGGTGGTTTTATTCCCAGTTTTTTATATTATTCTTTTTTGTGTTATATTTGCTTCTCTCTGACTTCTGACTGTTGTACATTTGTACAAAGACCAAAATTAACTCCAAGTTTTAGGAAGTATTTAGAAGACTACATGTAATACTGTTCACGTATCCCATTTCAGGCTCAGGTTTGAGAGTTTTCAGTCATATACCAAAACCCCTAATACTTCCCTTAGGCATAAAATTAACCCTACTGCAATCCCTTGAAATTTATACTGTCCTCCAGTTCAGCTGTAGCCTTGAAAACAACAGCACACACTCCCAGGAATAGTATCACAAGGAGCAGAAAATATTTTAATTATTTGCTTTGTCTTGTCTCTTGTCTAGGTGGCTCCCTAGAAACACTGGCTTAAAAGGCTTGCTGTTATCTTGTCAAACTGTGAACCCATCTAGTGCTAGCTGTTATCTGAAGACATTTGTGGAAAATACTTAAAGGCAAATTTTTCAGTTGTTGCTGTATCAGGGAATGGATATCAGTCACAGCAAATAGCAGCCTAAACAAAAAGCTCAGAGGAAAGGCTGGAGAATGAGATGCTTTGAGGATTAAGGGTTTGAAAAATCCAGACATCCTCCTGGGAAAATAGATAGCTGTGCACATACTCTGGAAAGACTTGAGATGCCTCTGGGCTGACGTGGAGGCTTTAAGCAAGCAGCAGTGATTGCTAACGCAGAGTTGCAACCTGCCTGGGTGAGTCTGAGGTTGTGCCTAACACACACGCAGAGCCCCTCTGTAAAGACCGGGAGATATTTTTGGTTCCAGGAGTTTAAGTAGTATCTGCCTAATTCTCAGCTGACCAATTAGCTAAAGGACAAAACAAACAAGCAAATAACTCCCTCTACCAAAGTAGCAAAACAACAGTAACAAAAAAAGTAGCAACAACAAACCTTGGGGAAGGGTAGAACATGATTTTCAGTGCTGCCCTATTATAATATTCAATGTATCCAGGTTCCAATATAAAATTATGAGATATGAAAAGAAACAAGAACATATAGCTCATATGCAGGAAAAAGATCTCAACTCAATAATCTAAACTTCTACCATAAGAAACTACAAAAAAGAAGAACTAATTCTAAAGTGAGCAGAGAAAGGAAATAAAAACAATTAAAGTGGAAAAAAATGAAAAAAAGAATGGGAAAACAAAAGAGGAAAGAAAAGGCCTCTGAAAAGATCAATAAAATGAATAAACTTTTAAGTAGACAAGAAAAAAGAGAAACCTAAACGACCAAAATCAGGAAAGGAAGTGGAGATATTACTACCAATCTTATAGAAATAAAAAGAATTAAAAGGATATATTATAAGAAATTATAGGCTAAAACATTAGATAATCTAGATGTAACAGTCAAACTCCAAGAAAGACACAAACTACCAAACCTGACTCAAGAAGAAATAAAAAAATCTAAATAGATGTATAGCAAGTAAAGAGACTGAGTTAGTAGTCAAAAACTTTTGATCACAGAGAAGCCCAGAATCAGATGGCTTCACTAGTCCATTCTATTAAAGGTATAAAGAAGAATTAATATTAATCCTTCTCAAGCTCTCAAAAAAACAGAAAAGGAACATTTTCTAATCATTCTTTGATGCTGGTATTACTGTCATGCCAAATACACACAAGGACATCATAAGAAAACTACACCCAAATTCTTTACAAATATCAATATAAAAATTCTCAACAAATTACTAGCATACCACATCTAGCAGCATATTAAAAGAATCACACACCATGACCAAGTGAGATTTATCCCAGGAAATGTAAGGTTGGATCAATTAATGTAATATATCATATTATAATAATATAAGAAATAAAAGAAAAACTGATCTCAGTACATGCAGAAAAAGCATTTGACAAAACCCACAATCCATTCATGACACAACAACACTAAATAAACTAGAAATAGAAGGGGAATTCCTACAACTGATAAAGGGCATTTACAAATAACTCACAACGAGGTCAGGAGTGACGGTGGAGAGATACCCCACGTCCGAGGTAAGAGATAACCAAGTAAGACAGTAGGCACTGAGAGAGGGCATCAGAGGGCAGACAGACTGAAACCACAATCACAGACAACCAGCCAGTCTGATCACACAGACCACAGCCCTGTCTAACTCAGCGAAACTAAGCCATGCCGTGTGGGGCCACCCAAGATGGACGGGTCATGGTGGAGAGGTCTGACAGAATGTGGTCCACTGGAGAAGGGAATGGCAAACCACTTCAGTGTTCTTGCCTTGAGAACCCCATCAACAGTATGAGAAGGCAAAAAGATAGGACATGGGAAGATAAACTCCCTAGGTCAGCAGGTGCCCAGTATGCTACTGGAGATCAGTGGAGAAATAACTCCAGAAAGAATGAAGGGATGTAGCCAAAGCAAAAACACACCCAGTTGTGGATGGGACTGGTGATAGAAGCAAGGTTCAATGCTGTAAAGAGCAATATTGCACAGGAACCTGGAATGTTAGGTCCATGAATCAAGGCAAATTGGAAGTGGTCAAACAGATGACAAGAGTGAACATCAACATTCTAGGAATCAGCGAACTAAGATGGACTGGAATGGGTGAATTTAACTCAGATGACCATTATATCTACTACTGTGGCCAGGAATCCCTTAGAAGAAATGGAGTAGCCATAATAGTCAACAAAAGAGTCCAAAATGCAGTACTTGGATACAATCTCAAAAACGACAGAATGATCTCTGTTCGTTTCCAAGGCAAACCATTCAATATCACGGTAATCCAAGTCTATGCCCCGACCAGTAACGCTGAAGAAGCTGAAGTTGAACAGTTCTATGAAGACCTACAAGACCTTCTAGAACTAACACCAAAAAAGACATCCTTTTCATTATAGGGGACTGGAATGCAAAAGTAGGAAGTCAAGAAACACCTGGAGTTAACAGGCAAATTTGGCCTTGGAGTACGGAATGAAGCAGGGCAAAGGCTAATAGAGTTTTGCCAAGAGAACGCACTGGTCATAGCAAACACCCTCTTCCAACAACACAAGAGAAGACTCTACACATGGACATCACCAGATGGTCAACACCAAAATCAGATTGATTACATTCTTTGCAGCCAAAGATGAAGAAGCTCTATACAGTCAGCAAAAACAAGACCAGAAGCTGACTGTGGCTCAGATCATGAACTCCTTATTGCCAAATTCAGACTGAAATTGAAGAAAGTAGAGAAAATCGCTAGACCATTCAGGTATGACCTAAAACAAATCCCTTATGACTATACAGTGGAAATGAGAAATAGATTTAAGGGACTAGATCTGATAAGATAAAGTACCTGATGTACTATGGATGGAAGTTCGGGACATTGTACAAGAGACAGGAATCAAGACCATCCCCAAGAAAAAGAAATGCAAAGAAGCAAAATGGTTGTCTGAGGAGGCCTTACAAATAGCTGTGAAAAGAAGGGAAGCGAAAAGCAAAGGGGAACAGGAAACATATACCCATCTGAACGTAGAATTCCAAAGAATAGCAAGGAGAGATAAGAAAGCCTTCCTCAGTGATCAATGTAAAGAAATAGAGAAAAACAAAAGAATGGGAAAGACTAGAGATCTCTTCAAGAAAATTAGAGATACCAAGGGAACATTTCATGCAAAGATGGGCTTGATAAAGGACAGAAATGGTATGGACCTAACAGAAGCAGAAGATATTATGAAGAGGTGGGAAGAATACACAGAAGAACATGTACAAAAAAGGTCTTCATGACCCAGATAATCACGATAGTGTGATCACTCACCTAGACTCA